ACTATTTTCATGCCCGTTCTACCAACACCATAACAGCATATATAGCACTGGGACATTAATTACAGCACAATTCACTTATGGTACCATGAATTTTGCATTCAGCTATGTTGATGTTCACCTACAGCACAGTTCTTGCTCACTTTTCCTGTCTAAAGTGTCCAGGTACATCTGTCATTTAAGAAACCTATTTAGCTTAAGGAAGGATGTAAGCTTTCAGCTAAATGGTGTCTTATGGATAGGAAGTTGAACATCTCAACACCTCCTTTGTTAAATGATGTACTCTTAAGAGAACGGGGACAGAGCAGCTCTTGGGATAGCCAAGTGATAAGAAGAGGCTGAGAAAACCTTCAGTTTTATCCAACACACATCACAAACCCCCGAGAAAGAGGGCAGCGCTACTCAGTCGCTGATTTGAGTTCACCAGCTTCATCAAAGCCCAACATAATCTCTATTCAAGTACCAATATATTCAGACCATGCAAAAGCAGAGTCCTGGCACCTTGCTTACAAGAAATGCTGCAATTAAACAGGATAAAAGCAAAAGGAAGGAACAAAGGACAACAAAATAAGTGGTAAGGACTCAGATTTACACAGCTCTTTCAATTAATGGTTTTTCAAGCACTGTGCTTGGCAAGAAAGAACAAAAGGGTCCCCTGTTCAGGACACACTCAGGGTATGCATAGAGAACCTACCACTTTCACCTCTTTATAATACAAGAGTCAAAAAGAAAAAAAATTTGTGGAAAAATTGTGGCTGATGATGTGATGGGCAAGCTGTGGTATACTCCACTACCACACCCAGCTTTTTTACTGACCTCCATCAATCATTTCCCCAGACATGGGGAAAGTCCCATTCTTCTCTCAGGCCAGACCCTTATCTATAGTTCACCATTCATCTGACCCCAAAACTTCCTTCTCTGTTATCTGTGAAGTCAGGTAAGGAGTTTCATCCATCCCTAGCTCCCCTCTCCAGGAGGACAGGAACACACCATAGAGCTGCCCAATTTGTTCCTCAGCACTTCCAAGAGCTATGCTTCAATACATCAAACAAAAGACGTTCTAGCAGGAGTTGGACAATGACATGACAGACTGAGAAACTGCATCATAGACTGAAAGCTGTGTGAATATTTCAGCTTTTGAGTCCTTGGTATGAATGCTATTTTATTTCTCCCCTTTCCCAGAGAAAGCCATTTTCAGTGTGATTTTGGAGTGTTAAATCTGCAGTGACCATATTATGTAGACTCATTACCTACAACCTGCAACCAAACACAGTAAACACAGTACATCACTGAAGTCTTTGAAAGATTTCATTGTTGTTGTTGTTGTTGTTGTTGTAAAATATACTTATTTGAAAAACAAGTAATTCTCTTTCATTGTGCAATTTGTTTTTCTGCTCTGGCTACACCTGTGACAGAGAAACAATACTGTCACATGTCACCCGTACCCCTCTATTAGCTACTCCTGAACAGGAAAAAAAAAAAGAAAAAAAAGTAATCTTCAAGACAGTTTCACTGCTGTACAGGATGCTCACCAGAAAACAACAGATGTGCTATAATCACTACTGCCCATTCATTTCCTTTCTGTCAGAAAGAAAGCAGTGGTCATCAATTAAGAACTCCTATCTACAGGACACAAAAGGAAGTATACACTTTTCCTTGGTCATTTGACCGCAACAATAGGAGATGGCAGCGGGAAAGGACCGACCACTCTGAGCAAGCATGGCTGGGGGTGGAAGGGGGGGAAGATAAAGTTGACTGGGCTTGTGATTTGGGATTTATTCTTTAAATGAATATGAGAAATTTTATTCAACACTTTAATATACAAATGTTTAAAAAACAAATAACATTGTCTACAAATTACACAAAATGTTAATTATATTATGCCTGATTTTGTCCAGACAATTCAGTTAATCTTTTTCAAAGCAGAAAATCCCAAACATGTGAGCTGACAAGAGAATTAAGCAGCATCTGGAAAAGCTGTTTTATCAATTAACAGAGCCTTTTCTGAAACAGTTATCACAATTTTTATAAAACCGTTAGTCTAAATGTACTATATGTTTAGACTTTCAATATGTCACTGGCATAAGTTGTTTGGATTAATATTTTTAAGAAGTCTAGTCACATCTGTGAATCTTTCTGTTAAAAAGATTACATTTGCTGGTCAGCTCATCACTCTGAAGTAGAATGACAGCTTTCATAAAACTGCCAACAACAGAGAACCCAAGAGATGGGCTTTATATTATGGCTGTTTCACAACTGTAGTCAGCCACAAAGGGTTTGGGAGAAACTTATTAAAAATTGTTAGCCTTAATTAAGGTATTAGGCCCTAATCTAGCATGCTAAATTAAACCCCAAATATTCCCATGGACACTAATGCAACGGCTCGAAAAGCCTGCTAGGCGCTTCCCACGATAGGAAAGCTTTTACAGGCCTTTACATTGCAACTGAACCCCTGGTTTTGCCCTGTACCTCTGCTTCATCGCATACCAAAAATAGAACCGACTTACAGAAAAGCTCACACGTGGGCATAGCATCATTCCTCTCCACCCCCTCAGAGGTTTGCAAGCCCTCATACCATTAAAGGCATGGCCTAAACAAAGCATTCAGTGATGCACAGACACTCGAGGAATTTTTTTATGTATTGACTTTTAGCATAAACACATTGCTTATTAAAACTTATCCTGAATTGTCAGAACCAAGTATATTGATCTGATGTTTCCTTCTGTTACAACAGATGTTATGATTTTAAGAGCTGATGAAGCTCATTTTAATTCCTTCCAAAGATTAGAGTATTCTAACCACTGACTTACTGAAAAAATTAAAATCAGACAATATTGTTATATAAGTCAAATGGATAATAGTAAACTATAACCAAATTTCATGGAATGTCTCCCCCACCACCTCCAAAAGTTTTTCAGAATGAAAATATCCTTAGAAGTTCCAGACTTAAGTCTGCCATGTGAACAAAATTTTGCAAAATTACTGGTGGTTATTTGGTAAGATTTAACCATTACTCTATTCTTTTTACAGAACACTACTTCTCATATTTTAGGTTTCTTCCTTTTTCCCACGAAATTAATTCCTTACTATATGCACTTCATCTAGTCCTTGAATGCCTTGTCCCATTAGTTGATACATTCCCACATACTCCAGTTTTGTTGATACTACAGTTTTTTGAAGCACTTCAAAGTGAATGATTGTCTGCCATGGATCCCAGAGAATCTTAGAAAATCTTCTGCATCTTAGGCCGCAGACACAATCCATGTTATCTCAGCTTTCAGAAAAGAGGTTATTCGAGTCTGACAGTCTGATTTAGCTTTTCTGTTCAGCAACTCAAAACCGAGGCCAAGCACCATATTTGAAATGAAATGGAAATCATGGGAGGGGGGATGTTTGTGCAAATAATTCACTCCAAGGTCACTAGGCAAATACTTTGCATGCATTTGGATATGCACAAATTTCAAACTAAATAAATAAAATGATTTCCTGTGTGGAAGCTGGGAATGTACAGCCCCTCCACATTCATGAATGAAAAAATATTCTAGTAATTAACTATCAGTAAATAACACAGAAAACTAGTGTACTGAATTTAGGTCATGCCAATTATTTTTCTCTAATGCATGTTGAAACATGCAACCTTATTCAAATCTTGCTATTTTTAGAAAACACTGAAGAGGAATTTCTGGTCTTTCCTCTTGCAGCCTCTGCAAAATGTTTTCCTACTGTTCTCCCTTGGATCCAAAGGGAAGTAACATCTCACTAATGTTTGTCAGATGTAAGTTTCAATTTAATGCTATGCAGTCCTGCAAGTGCTTCTCTAGTACAGTTATGCAATCTCAAAGCACTGGAGCTAAAATAAAGTTTCCATTCTCCTAAAATTTTATAAAATTCTAACACAGTTGGATGATAAATACAAAATTATATTAAAAGTCCCACTAAGAGGTAAAAGAATTATTAATTAGTTGTCTAATATAGCATATTAGTATTCCCTCTGCAGATTACAGAAGCCAGAGTGACAATTAACACAATGCACTTTTTTTTTTTTAATTATAAACTAATCCATGCTACACTGGTTCCAGCATTAGCATTGGAAGGAGTGAAGTAGCTTACTTATAAGGCATCAAGTTTTTCAAAATAGCAGTGTCTGTGCTGTTACCCACTGAATGTTTGCTTTTTTCAGAGAGAAGAAAAGACTCCTTTGGGTTGGCACCAGCACTGAGGAGGAAAGGAGGAGAAAGGGATCTTGCCTAAAGCTCTCCTATTTAATATTTTCTGTGGAGTTTCCTGCCAGCCCTATCATGAAGATTTCTGGAATGTCAATTTGTTTCAGATAACCAAATTAGTAAAATCGGTTATTACAATCGAGTTACATTTCCATGGCATCTAATTCTGCTTTTCCTATGCTCTGAAGTTCCCCATGTCTCCCAAGAATTTCAGGCAGTGAGATTACATAAACAAAATTAAATCCCTAAAAAATAAACTAAGAAACAACAATTTCTTCTTAAAATGTCACAGGAAACCTCAGGAGAACACAGTCATCCCAGATCTCCCCAACCCCAATCTCCCCGTCCCCATGGATATACCATTGTTTCTTCATGCAAGTGGCATTTATAATTCCAAATGGGCAGAATTAAGCAACCAAACAAAACTTCAGCTACAGACCTCTAGCAAAATTTCAGTTACGGAAACAAGGACTAAAAACAAAGACTTAACCTCCCCTAACTGCTTAGGGCTTTCCCCCTCGAGTTTAATTTAATTAGCATAAAACCCCAAGAAAAAAAAACACTGTCCCAGCCAACCCACACATCAGGCCCATGCAGCACACTGACCTACTGTGGATTTGCATACTAAGCAGCCTCATGGTTAACCTGAGGCACATTCACTATACAGCAATAATAATCATCTCAGTCAGAGGTACAGCAAACATCATCTCATACTTAAAATTAAAAAATTAAACAAAAAGTTAAAATAATAATAAAAAATTTACCTGGTAGAGCACTCACCAAATATATTACTGTTGGGTTAGGCAAAGTGGAGTCACTTTTCCTTTCCTCTGTTGAATCTCCGCATTCTGCAGAAAGGAGGGTAGAAATTATGGAATTAGAGAAGGGATAAAAGGCAGCACAGCTGCACAGCTCAGTGAGGGTCCACACTCACTCTGGTTTATACCCACTAAGTCATGCTTGCTGTATGTACTGCCTGCCTGTTCTGACTTAAAGAGTAGCTGAATAAAACATAGCACGAGCTGAATCGAGTTCAGACAAGCTAAAGGGTCAGATTTTGAATAGGAATTAGACACTAATGTGATTCTGAAAATCCCATTAAGAGCCTTTAGCAACTCTGCCTACCTGTATATCTTTAAAAATCTAGATCAGACAGCTTGCCTATGGTCGTGCTGTACATCTGTGGTGGGGCAAGGAAGTGCTGCTGGGTTCCCAAGCTCTAAACCCCAAGGACTTCAGGTCACACTCCTTCTGGAAATTGTTAGCGCTGATTTTCAACTTAATTACCTTTAATGCCTGGAAACTTCTATCCAGGTAATCCCTCACTTTCCTGGTAAGCAACACCGGTGGCCATTACAGCACATCAGAGACATGGTCACTGAGATCTGCCTGGAACCTCCATCTGATCTAGGTACTTTTACAAGGTCAACAAACCATGATAAATATTCAAATGAAAATAATGTTTCTTCTACCACTTCAAAAAAACCAGCTATCTAGATAGAACCATGGCACAGCTTTTTCTTGCAAAATGTATTAATCCACATTAAAGCCTAAAAAATGGAGGATTCTTGATTTAACTAGGGAAAGAACTCACTTCCTTTGCTAAATTTGTAACCCTTCCCAGCTTCAGAATATCAACTGCAACTGAACAAGGATACCTTTTTTATTATTTTCATTTCTCTAAGACATTCCTTTACATTTTCCTGTTCTAGGGGACCCCAAGATTAATTCACTTCTCCTTCTTTGCTATTTCTGTGCTATGGACTGAGCCAAAGGTGACAGTGAACAATCCACAGAAACCAAACATCAAATGTTCTTGCTCTGAACTTTCAAGAAACTATTTAATTTTTTTCTTCTCTTTTTTATATCATCATAAGGCCTGTTTATATACTTGGAGTGGAAACAGTGCACATTCAGCTGCAATTGATTTCCTGTATGGCAAAATACCTCAGGCATTCAGCTGGCTGGGAACACTACAGAGGCCTCTTACCATCACCAGTTTTTTGAGACCAGGAAGCTCTGCCCAATGCTTGTTCTTATGCCAGAAAAAATACAAGTTCCTGCTGAGTGTCCAATTTAATTTGGTCTAGGCGAACCAAATCATAAACAGGCAAAATTTTATGTTTCAAAAACCCATTTAAAAAAAATACTGGTCTACTTTCAACTTCAACAGTAACACCATCAATTTAATCTTACTAATGCAGCATAACATTCATCTACAGATGTTTTTTACATACAAAAACTACTCCATCTGAAATTTTCTTTTAACAAAATATCAATACATTTTCCCTCTCCATGCTATCTTTATAGCAGTAAATTAACACTACAGGCAATTTCACGACTAAAAGAGTATATTTTTTTTTTCTCTTTTGATATCACTGAGTGACAATTATAACAACAATTTTATTTTACTTCAATAAGTTTTTTTTCTGTTCATAACTGAATACAGAAAAGCTTCCACTAACACTTCTATGAATCTGAAGGAAGAAATACATGAGTAGTCTCACCAGGTTCCTACCATCAGACTGTAATAGCTGTAACATTCAAATGCCCAACCACCTGACTATACCTCAGATTGTAAATTAAGTGAAACAAAAACACAAAGTGAGCTGTAATTACCATCCTACTTTCCATTTAGTTCATGCATGTTTCCTTAGTCTCAAATCCTCCAGAGTCAAAGGACTCGACTTCAAGTGCTTGAGAAAGCAGTTTCTTTAAGAACTCTAGAAAGAGACAGACTGGCAATGCACCCACAACCATTTAAATATACACACATGAGTACGTATATATATATATATGTGTACGTGTGCATATATGCTTATATATATATAAAAGCATATACATACGTTTATGTATATAGAATATACATACATACACCCATTATATATAAAGAAATGAAAATCAGGTGGCCAGACAATCCTGAAGAAGTCTAAATTTTATAGGGGTACTTTTGTTTGATAGTAGCTTTATCAATTACAGTTTCTTAGTTCTTGACTAAAATTATTGGCCAAAAGCTGAGGTATTCCCTAAACCCCAGAGGACACAGTGGCCTTCCAAAACCTTTCAACTGATGACTTCTGACAGGATTGGGCAGTCACATTCAAATTGACTAAAGTACAGGCTCCTGGATGCTACTGAGTGTTCTTCTATGAACCTTCTTTAACTTTTCCAAGAGTTTTCTGCAGATCTTGGTATTATCATACTATATAACAGAACAATCTGTAAGGAAAATGAATTTTTCATACTTCGATTTATCAATTCAGTGATTTATCTCTCAAACGTCAGTCTAAAAAAAACGAACACTTTTATACTAAAAACACTATCACAAAGAAAACACGTGCATGTTCCCTTCAAGAAAATTATTAACAAATAAACTGTTGTTTGTCCTACAATTTCTATTTCATCTTTAAAAAGCTTGTATGTCTTAAAATAGTCTTAGTTAATCTAGAGATATATCACAATTATTAATCAAAAAGCATTACCTTCTAATTACTTTTAGGAAATATACAGGATTAAAGCATCAAGCAAGTAGCAGCTTAAGAAGCAAAAGCCCAAAGAAACCTGCATTCATGTATTTAAACTGACTTGAACCATAATCTCTGGCTGTCCTGTGAAAAACACTTTGGCACTTGGACTTCACACTGTAATGTTAAATTAGAAGCCCAGAAACTTGAAAACTGTCTTCCAAAATGTTGTAAAATAAAGGTTCTCTTTTTAGCTCTTTTTAGCATGGGAGGCAACCAAAATAATTTTCAGTAAGTGGATGGGTGCTTTACTTCATTCTCTTAGGAGACATTGAGATTATCTTCACCTCCGTTTTCCTCCAAAGTGTAAACGACACACAACCCTTCTGTGTTACACACTCCCTCAGTCCCAGATTGAGGTGCTTGGTGAAAGGCTAACATTATCACTTTACTCCAATAAACCGGTTCCCTCAAATGACCTGGTTTGAGTTTTGAAATCTCTGCTGTTTAAGGATTTCCTTATCCTGTTTCTGCTGGGGTAAAAAACCAAAGTGAGCCAAAGCCACCCAATTACGTATAATTGTGTTCCACAAACTTACATGTGGGAATTTGCTTAAATTACAAGTAGGATATCAAGACACTTATTCCATTCATTGTCATCCCTGCTCTCTTCTAATCCTCATCACACCTCACATCCAGACAACTCCATCCTTACAACTTGGATTATATTGTGCAATGGACATATTAAAATTGTGTCAACATATACTGTAGCATTTTAAAACAAACATCCTTGTGAAACAATTCCACAGCAAAGCTCAGAATAAAATTATTTGTAGAAGTTCACATGTTTTAGAAAACAAACCACTGTCAAGTTTAATCATCAGTGAAAAGGACTAAAGTAAAAATTCGGCATGACTTTATATTGAGCTACATGCCAGTTCTTAAAGCCCAACTTTTGTGGCCAAGGAAAGCAGCTTGATGTTACAGCATCAAGGGAAGGCCACATACTGTAGCACCTTCTCATCGCACGACATGACTGATGAATAGACCGACAATGTGCTGCATCCCAAGGAAAAAGATTTATTCCACAGGCAATCAGCTGAGAGCTTTCCCAAATATATTAAGCAAATTTCATGGACTAAGAACATGCAGCGCTCCTGGAGTTTCTTTGACTCTACCCATTCACAACAGTGAACAACACAAAGCTGAGTTACATGAGAAGGTCAAGAGCTGAGTGAATCTTTGCCAGAACTCCTCCAGACCATCCCTTGTATAACCTCAAACTGTCCCAAGGAAAGAAGTCAGTACTGGGCAAGTATGGGCATAGACAAATAACTCTGATCCAGGTATCAGAACTAATTACCTCCTGATATGACTCAGGATTCATAACTAAAAAATAAATGGAACCAACCCAGTACATTTTTCTGAAATAATCTTGGCACCACTGATCCTCTGTTAAATATTGAAAGAACTCCTCGTGCAGCACTGACATTGCTTTAAAGAAGAGCAAAAGGCTGGGGGGGAACAAAAAAACCCCAACAAAACCCAACATGTAGCAGGTAGACTCCTCATCACTACAAGACAGTGGTAATGAAGATGCATTCAGATGGCCCTAGCACCCAAATCCCCCTGGAAGCTCAAATAGTTGCATGATGCACATAGCCAGGCTGGGCAGGTTCATCTGTCAGATATCTACGACAGCACTATCCCCTAGAAATGAAAGAGACTCACAAGCAACAGATCTTCACTGCAAAGGCTGATGACCAGCTTTTCTTCTGAAGACAGCAAATGAGACCATCAGGGTTTTGTTTTTTCAGAATTCTTCCTTGAAAGGCAGACAGCTCCTATCCTATCCAAACAGCACACAAGAAATCCTTGCAGGGAAGAAATCCTTTCTCCTCCATACCCCACCCGTGCATATCACAGGTCCCATCACATCAACGCTTCACCAATGAACAGTAGGGAAAAAAAAAAATCCCCTTTTCTCCTTTGCTTTGACCTTGTGGGAATCTGAGTCAGTGCCTGTGCTGTGCTTTGGATAAACAAAATCCTTTGGAGGGGCCTGAGGAGTGCAAGAGATAAATTCATGTTTGGTAACAGCGGTGGTTTATCGGCAGGACCCTCTGCTACAGAGTCGAGGGAAGAACCTCTTCAAGATGGTTTCTTCTGGATCTGCACTGTGCGTGGCAGCAGCGGGATAGCCTAGCTCTAAGACTGAAGAACTCAAGCGACATTGTCAGCACGCACAGCCGTTACTGAGGAAGCACTCCTGTGTTGGTAACATGACACACTACCAAAGAGTGCTGCTGCAGGTAAAGTGGCAAAGTGCAAACTGCAGTAATGGAGATGCCAGATATCAGCTCTAAAATCTGCCCAGCACAGCT